ACCGTTTCAGAAAACATTTCAATCACCTCAGCATTATCTGTTAATCCACTAATCTGTGGATCTTTTATTTCTTGCTTTCTTCCAATATTCATTTTAGCTATGCCTCTGTATGTTTTTGACCACCCTAGCTTTATTCATACATCTTTCTGCACTTTCTATATGTTTCTTTTGTTACATCAATGAAAAGATCAAGAGACAGCGAAATTATTTTTTCATTACTAGTTTTCCCCTTCAGTGCGTTTGGTATCATTAGACTACTCAAAGACGTAGACATTGTTTCTTTCTTCCTTATATTTGCCCCATCAAGCTCTGTGTACCAAATACTCTGCTTTTTGACACTTGCGGGTTTTATTCTCCTGTTGTCATCTTTTATCCCATGTAGACTAGCATCTTGTTGCACATGCAGAACCTGCCCTCCATCTATGCATTCTCTTTGTTTATGAAGAGAATGAATTTACACACCCATGGATAGCAGTATGTTCTGCTGAGTTTTCTCCACTGAATGGTTACAAGATATTTGAATTATCAAATCTCATCCTTTCAGTGATTCTTCTCCAGCTACAGACAGACACCTTGTACTTATATTCCACTCATACATATCTGATTGATCCAACAGAAGCTGGCAGAAGACTTTTAATGAGCATGTGTTTAGACATTCTGCTGCTGCTCTTTCCCAATATATTTGTGTTGGTGTGCGGGCACCCAGCACACTGAGAGGAATGACGCACTACTCTGCAAGGTCATAGGCACTATGCTATAAATACATGCAAAACACCCCATGAGCAAGAATCTACCAAGAACCTATGATACATATTGGGGGGCTTACCTCAAAAACTATTCATCAAACATTTTCAAATGCAAACGTTGAAACTGTTTTCACTTGGTTAAAGTATTGCAATTGAAATATCTTTAAAACATTTTTTAAATTATCTATTGAGGTCAAAGTGGCTTTAGGAACTTGCTTTTATTAATAAAAGCAAAAATTAGAAAGAAGAGGACTCATTTGCTGACACTGTCTTTATAATAACCCTTACAAAAACCTCATTTATTCTAAATGGGAAAACCAATGTATTCTCTCAGGTAAAAAAAGTATATGTTATTATTCATATATAGACATATAGCCTACAATGAGAAAACTCATTATCCTGAACATAATTCAAATCAACAAGAATTGATAATTAATTCTATAGATTGTGATACAAGCAATATTATTTACTAATAATATCATTATTAATGCTACTTATTAATAGCAAAGAAGAAAGCTGCACACTTAGCATTCCACCATACATCACAGGAATTTTTATCCAGGGGGAAAAAACCCCAAAACATAACAAAGGCAGGCTTAGAGGGATGCCATGCTGACACAGCCTGCTGCCAAGCCTGCAGCTTACACCAGCCATATAATGCATTCTACCAACCTGCTCCAGACACAAAGCTGCAAAATCACCAGGAGCACCAGTCACTCATGCCTAAATATTTGCTGACGGCCCCAACAGGAAAGAGAGCACTAACTCAAAGAAAGAAATAGCAATCAGACCATATGGAAAAATCTAATATTTGATTTCCTCACTGATTTATGCTGGAAGCAAATCTGAAAGATAAATAAAGCACATTTTGCAGTTCTCCATATTGAGGCAGATGGGGTGGGCAGGAATAAAAAGAAATATATGAGTCCAGGCTCAGAGTTCTAGTCTAGGATGGACCATTCCAGAAGAATGAGGGGAGCCCCAGTTCACAGGAGAACTTCTGGGTTTGAAGTTGCCTCTCCTGCCCTAGGCTCTATATCATTTAATAACTTTAGACAGCATAATTGTACATATTGGTGTGGACTTCAGTATTGCTTCAGATTCCGAAACAGGGAGATAACGTGACACAAGTGCTGATGCTATTCTGAATGGTATTGCACATTTTTATGTTACTAACCTTTGGAAGCACTGCTGAAAGCCACAAGTTCTGTGGGGTGATAATATTTAATTTAATAGTTTGCTCTATCTGCCATCTTCACTGCAGGAATCTGAACAATATTATTCTTGGTCATTAATCAACAGAAAACCATTTCATGCCTGACAATAGTCCTTAGCACCCAAAACAGAACACTTGCACTGGATTATTTCTCCAACAAATGTGGATCCAAAGATTACAATGAAAATTTTCATTTATGAGTACAGACACAAGAACTAAGATTTGCCACTCTAAATTCATAAAATACAGAATACTCCTCTCAGATCTATGCTTCTGAAAAGGAAAATTTACAAAAGCAGCTTTTAAAAATTTTCTTAAAATAATGTTCTATTTGATTTTATTTTGCTTAACTTGCTGGAAAACTTTTACTGCACCTTGTGTGTATACAATTGGTTTCACAGCTATTAAACCTTTCACACCTATGTTTATTAATCAAAGCAGCAAGGATCACTGCATTTGAACTTGCATTTGCTGTATGAAGATGGACATTTTCTGCCAGAACTTTTTGCCCTTGTTAAAAAAAAAAAAAAAAAAAAGCTAGCAAAAAAGTTTCTAAACCACACTAATAGTTGAACATGCCACTAACTTCAAATGCATAAAAACCTAAAAGGGAGTCATCCAGTCCTGTATTCTGACCTCACCCCAAAATTTGGGTGAGGGATCACCATCTGTTTGATTTTGGAATAGATTCGAATATCTTGAATCTGAAAAAAAAACAAGTCTTCCCTTAGCAGTCTGTTGCAGTATCTCATCATTCTCACTGGTAACAGACTCACTTCTCATATGAACTTTTAACAGAGAAAATGCCAGATTCAGTTTTCAACTCAATATTCAAGTTTGGGGTGGCTGTTTGTTTCACTGGCTTCAGTTTTTAAAGAAAAACTGTCAAGCTTTCCACTTAGACCACGTGAAACCTTCAGCTTTGAGAAAAACTGCACACACAGCCTAAACTGGGTAAAATAAGTAACACTGTATTAATCACACTGCACACTACTGAGAAGTTAGACAAAATAAACAGAGACTCTCAGCTCCAATAACTCAAACCCAGAATGTGTTTCTATATATATAATAACATATAATGGGGTTTATATTATACATATTTATGCATATAATGTATAAATTATTATACCTATAGTACTTTCATATATTGTTATTATGTTTCCCTGGATTTCCCTATATTCAACCTGTTAAAGTTCAGGGAGAAAAAGCACAGTAGTGACAATCAGGCAGCTATCTCCATGCACAGCTCTCTATTCATTTGTGATTAAAAGAAATACCCAAATTTCCTTTTCCTATTCTGCAGTTAAAAGTAGCATCTTTAGCCAGTGCTGTTGGACCCGTTGATACAAGAACTCCAAGACCTGCGCAAAAACCAGAGGTGAGCAAGACAATTGCAATGCAAGTAACTATAATTAGACTGTAAGAGTGGAAGAGTATAAAGTAACATTTATTTTTGTAAGCATTAGGTCAGTAAATGTAATCCTCTATTGGCTAGGCTGCATATGAGCTATGAAAAAAAATAATTTGGATCATATCGATGCCAGTGGAGAAACTATTTACCAATAAACAACAAGAAGGGCATTCTGATGGGCTCTGCCTTAACAACAAGCTCATATGGCTTTTAAAAGCTCCAAAACTTCCCGTTTATACTTTCAATTGGCAACACTAATATCAGTACCCAAATCCTTCCTGCTTTTCTGTTAAAGTTAACCGGGTAATACCACAGCACTTATCATACAGACTGAAACTAGAGTGTTAAAGTTGTCATTTTAGTGCTTCCTTGGGGATGCCCCAACTTTCCAGCCATTCATTGCCAAGTCCTCTCTGGTGGATTCCACTGAAAGACTTCGCGCTTTTTCACGGAATAGTTAGGGTTGGAAGGGACCTCTGGAGATCATCCAGTCCAACCTCACTGCCAAGGCAGGGTCACCTAGAGCAGGTGACACAGGAACGCATCCAAGTGGTTTTCAAGTGTCTTCAGTAAGATATTCCCCCCTCCCCTCCCCCCGCCGCCTTTCAACAACGCTTTTCTAAATGTTTCTCTGGCGAGAGAGCCGTAGGGGTGGGGAGCACTTAGCAAGTATTAATTGCAGGAATAAATCTGACAGGGTGGATCAGACGCCCCCCTCGTCGCACAGATGTAACCCGAAGGCGCCCTGCGCGGGACGGGGCCGGGAGAGCCCCCGCCCGGTCCCAAAGCCGAAGGGGCGGTCAGCCGCGCTCACCTGCACCCCGCCGAGGATCGCCTCGCTCTTCTCCCTCACGTCGGGGAAGGGGCACCTCTTGGACAGCATGAGCAGGCGGGCCAGCGCCTCGCCCAGCCCGTCGCGGGCGGCCGCCCCGGAGGCGATGCTCCCTGCGCGGCGGAGCACGGCTTGCCCGATGGTGTCCAGCGCGGCATCGCGGGCGGCGGCGTCCCGGCTGCACAGCCCGTCCCAGCGCACCTCGCCCTCCCGCTCCTCCATGGGGCCGCCCGGCCGCCGCTCCCCCGCCGCAGCCGCCGCCTCCTCCTGCTCAGCAGCCCCTGCGCGGCCGCCCCATGGCGGGCTCCCGGCCGCCGCCAGCCCGCCCACACAGACGACGACGAGCGCGGCCGCGGCGAGCGCAGAGCCCGCTGCCCGCGCCGCATGGGGGGCAGCGCGGGCCGGTGCCCCCGACAGCCGCCGCCCTCCCGCGCCGGGGCTACCGAGCCAGCGGAGCCGCCGCGGCTTCGCCTTTCCCGACCGGGAGAGGGGCGGCCACCACCCCACGGCGCCGGCGGCTCCTCCTCCCTGCCCCGGGCATGGAGGGAAGGGGCGGCCCCAGCCCTGCCTCTCTCGGGACGGCCCCTCAGCCCTCCCCGCCGGGGCCGCCACCGACCCCCGGCAGTCCCCTCACTCGGGGGGGGGGGAGAGAGCCCCGCCCAGCACGGGGAACCCGCATGACAAACACGCCGCTCAGCCAATCGTCTTCCAGCGCTCGCGGCCGGGGGGCCCAATTGCGGCGGGGAGCGGCTGTTCCGGGGGGGTTGCTGGGATATGTAGTTCGGCCAAAGGGCCGTCCTGTGGCCCTCGCGCGGGAAGACTACGTGTTCCGGCAGGCAGCGCGGCCGGGATCGTGCCGGAGGAGGGCGAGCGGTCGCTGGGATGCACGCACGGTATTCCCGCCGTCCTGTTTGCTAGGGGCCTGGGGGATTCTGTGCTCTATCGCAGCAGGCTATGGAGCGCCGATGGCTGGCGGCAGCCGGGGGTGAAGCAGCCCTGGGATGTATCCTAAGCGAGCGCGTCAGCGGGAACGGAACACCCGTCGGTGCTAGCGAAACACATCCCGTCACACTTGGGATGTAGGAGAGATGGGAGGGGCGGGGAAATCCCCGTAATATTCACATTGAGCAGCAGTTCAGCGGTGTTTTTATCCAAATTAATCCCAGGGGATTTTTTAAAATCCCAGTTGTGCAAGATCTGATGAACCTGGAGAAGAGAAGGCTCTGGGGGGAATCTTACCCGCGCATATATCCGGACATTTATTTGTGCCTGGAAGGAAGGTGCAGTGAGGATGGAGCCAGGGTGTTCTCGGTGGGGCTCAGTGCCGGTATCAGAAGCGAGGGACTCAAACTGAAACACAGGAGCTTCCCTCTGAACATCAGGAAGCACATTTTTTACTGTGAGGGTGACCAAGCGCTGGCACGGGTTGCCCAGGGAGGTTGTGGACTTGCTATCCTTGGGGATAGATCAAACGCTGCCTGGACACGGGGTAGCCTGGGTAGCTGTCTCCGGCTGGTCCTGCTTGGGGGGGGGGGGGGGTTTGGACCAGATGGTCTCCATAAGTTCCTGCCAAACTCAGCCATTCTGTGATTAAGTGTAATCTGCCACTAAAGAGGCTGGTATTGCTACTTGCCTTGCTTTTCCTTCAGGAAAAAAAAAAAAAAAGAAAAAAGCTGCTGTTTATGATAAATTTATATTTTCAGCCAAGTCAGTTCCTTGATCCAGTTCACCTCTTGGCAGTGAAGAGGAGAAGAAAACAAGGGCAGAACTGTTTGCAGCTGTCACATTGAAGCAATGGTGAAACTTAAATTTTGAGTACAGAAAGGCAAAAGAATACTTGGGAGTAAATTAGAAACAGGACATTGGGCCTACATAGGGTCTTGCATAATTATTTTTAACTTCTCACGTACACATTTCCCACTTTAAAATTCGGATGTCAAAACTGAAGTTAAATGCAGAATGAGCTTCTCTTATGCCACAGAAAGACACAGAAACCACTTCTGAGTCTAGGAACAGAGCCTGGGCAGGATCACCAACACCATTCATCTTCAGCTCTCTTCTTTGTACAGAATCTGATTTCTTCATCCGCCATCGCTTTTTCTTCTGGAACAGTTTCTTTAAAATGTGCATTTACCTGTACCTTTGAAGGAAGACTAGTCTCTTTTTTTCCCATAAAATCCTTTCTGCAAGGAGGCTGCATTGCCATTGTTCAGGAGGGTGGACAGGCCTGGACTGCTTCATGCAGCTGCTTCCTCCAGGCCTTTGGCACCCTCGTGAACAATGCATCTGCTGAAATCAGCACTACCTGTAATAAATATGAGTCTTGACTTCTCTAAGCACTTGAGGCCTCCACCCACCATAACTGATGGGTTCAAAGAAAATAGTTCTGCCAGTGCTTTTTATGTTGTTGGAGGGAATTTTTTTTTGTTTCTTCGGTTTTTTACATTAGCTACCAGTTCAGCTTCCCATCCTATTCTGTTGTCACTCATTATGGTCTCCCATTTTCCCATGAATGGGCATGTCACATCTGTTTGCTTTATTTCTATCTAGATTTTGATCTCCAGAAGTTGGCTAGATCTTATTTTTCCCATCATGAGTTGTTGGGTGCCTCTGACAAAGACAACATACATCCAAGATCAGAACAGTGAACCAGAATCAGAGCTGGAGCTTTGGTGTTTTAGACTTTGGTACAGCTGTATTCACACACTGAATGCCAAGATTGATTGAAAGTCACAGCACTGCCTTTTATCTTTTAGAAGCTGTTTTTTCCACTGGCTCCAAATGAACTCTGGCTACAGGAAACAGATTGTGAAACTGGCTCCAAGGCCTAAACTTCAGATTTCAGCCCTTTGTTTTATAGATTTTAATGTAGTACTTAGGGAATAGCAATGAGGATGGCTTTATTTTTTTTCCAAACCAAATCTCTGCAGTTTTCTGATACCAGGTCAGGCTTCTTTATGCACTGCAAGACATTGTGGAAATCAAGGTCAGAGGCTACCAGTGGAATTAATCAGAGCCCAAAGTTAGGGCAATGTGTTTGTTTGATTTGTGTGTTCACTGACTGCAGTTAATATGCTTGTTTTTGATCCCTAAAGAACGGATAAGAGAGAGGCAGAATTATGAAGGAAACAATCTGGCAACTCATCCAGAATTGCAGCAGTTGAGTTTTCAAAATGATAAGCTGAAGAAAAACAAATTTGTGGCTGTTTTAAATCTCAGTATTTCCTTCCTTCATGATTTATCAACTTCCCCTTTTTTTAAACTAGATAAGGACTTCTGTAGCCTTCTTTAGACTTCTATAGCAGATGACATCCAACAGCCACTTAACGTCCTGCTGGACGTTGCCAGCTCTCTGACTATACTCCACTGACTCTACTCCACTGTATAAATGTAACCTGAAACACTGAGAACTAGGAAAACAGTATGGGTAAACTGAAAGTGCAGTTCTGAAAAACTCCTCTGAGCAGCCACCTGAACTCTTGTTATTCTGTTTCTGGATAGAAATGTTTAGAATTGCCCCAAACTGGGCACCTTACAACCTGTCTCCTCTTTGTTCCCATTTGTGGTCTAGGAAGTAGGTGGAGCAGCTCTGAGAGAGCTGAGTGGAACCTCTCCAAGCCCAGCAAGTCAGGGTCTTCTGTTGTAGGCACAGACGGCTTCAGTGCCTGGCAGAATTTGCTAGAGTGCTCACCTTCAGTACTGTAACCTGGGGATTGAAGAATTGCCTTTTAGCTCAAAGGCATTTATATTAACACCTCCTAACTATCAGGAGAGTGTCCCAGGTGCTCAGGAGGATTGCAAAACAAAAGGGAACCTCACTTGTTGAATTTGTGCCCTACTGGAAGGGATGGCAAATGAGTGGCACTAGTGTGAAGTAGAAGGAAAGAGACACAGAGATCTGTAGGCAGTTATTCCTGGTTTCTGATAACTTTTCCCAGGCCAGTGCTGTTTTTTTATCCAGGAACTGCTTACTACAGAAATGCATACATTAACCCCAGGACCCTGTTTCAATGATTGAACTAGATAGAACTCCTTGTTTTACTCTGTCTTTTGCCTCAGCTTCTTGTCCTTGTTCGAGCCCCACATGCTTTTTGGAGCAGGGTCATAACTTCAAACGAAAAGGTGGTGACTCCCTGTTTCCTTCCTGCTCTTCCTTCTCCCAGTCTAGCATGGTGGTCAGGGATGAGGCATGAATGCTCCCCAGGAACTCCCACTTCCTGGCCAATGCTCTGACCACTGGGTAGCAGCACAGAGAAGGTGGACACCGTTTCCTCCAGCTGCACTTTAAAAGAAAAGGAACATTGCTTATTGGGAATTTTATATCTGCTGACAGCCCAAAAGGCCCTTTAAGCGCCTTTGGCAGGCTGTTTACACCGACCTTGGTGTTTTCCAGCAATAACACAAAGAAAAATGCTGTGACCAGCAGCCACATGAACTGAAGTCACAGACCAGAAAACCTACAGGGACTCTTTATTCATTGTTTTAAAGAATAGATTTTGGCACTCACTGGTAAAAGAGGACTCCAAATTCTGAGTCCAAAGAAGATAAAGATGCCAAGCACCAGGATGGGACTTAACCCATGTCTGTATTCATAGAGTTTCCTCACCCTGAAACAAAGCTCTTGTTAGCTCCTCACTGAGCTTGCTGCTTGTTTTGGATCTATAACTGCATTTCTTTTTCATGCAGGGGATGTAAGCCTGTCATTACCACACAGCCCCAAGGCTGAAAGGCTCACGTATTCTGAAACATCAGTCCCGTATTAGTCCCAATCCTCAAATTTATTAAGATCACACAAAAAGGCAAGAATGTAAGTCAAGAACCTAGAGATCCACTAAATTTTCTTCGTATATGCATAACTATTTGCATTCAGAAACTGCATATAGTTAATAGGGAAGAAATGCCTATTAAAAACTTTATAATCAATTGAAGTTAGTTTTCTGCCTGCAGCATTGCACAGGATTTTGTAACATCTTAGTCAGATTTGCTTTTTCTGTATCTCCAAAGCTGTGCAAGTTTAAATATACAGATTATATGAAACAAGTAATGCCTTTGGCAGTTTTAAGTTTCCCTAGGCAACTCAGGGCAGAAGTAGTGATAAAACCATTTTTACACAAACTATTTGGCATTAATACCTAGAATATTGTGCCTGTTCAGGATGTGCAATGAGAATGTTAGAATTGCTATGATTATTCTGAGTCATGTAAACAGGTGATATTTTTAAAAATCATTCTTCAACAAAATAGGTCTCCAAAATAGGTCTCCAAGAGTGAAGAGTTAGTTGAGGAGTTGCTTTCATTTTTTCTGCATTTAAAAGGCAACTATTTCAGACAAAATATGATTTTGGGAATAATTTATTGCCTGGAGTGAAACTTATCTTTTCCTTTTCCTTGCTAACATTTTTTTTCCTCATTCTGTTTCTTAGGCTGCCTGATGTACAAATGCAGAATGGAGTTTTTTGTTCCTTGCCAGGTGCCTAGCTATCGGCACCACAGGAATATATGAAAAAAATGTAGGCGTGGTAGTTGGTAGAAAGAGACAAATCCTACGAATAATTACCCTCTTTGTGTCTCTCTGCTCATCCATGTCAAGCTTTTGTGGTTATCTGTCTAAAATCTGTCTCCTACTCCATCTTCAGGCTAGATTAAAGGGTAGTGGATGAAGAGACTGACACTTTGCCTGAGAAAGTATTGATAAAAGCAGAAGTTTACTTTAAAAATAAATTCTGAGGCAACAGTGGGGACACAATCTGTGTCTTTCATCTGCTTAGAGGGCAAGTTGCAACGTTCAAAACCATCTTTCAGTGATACCATTAAATATTTGAGATATAAAAGGTGAAAATTATCATGCAGTAAAAGTGTTTACTGTGAATGAGTCAACACCTGCAATAATCATC